TATGTGGGTAAGGGGAGGGTTGCGTGCATCATTGTGCAGACTGTGAAGCAGCTGGAAACCCTGTCTGCAGTATCAGCAAGGCCAGGCTTTGAGCCCAGGTTCTGAAGACTCCCAAGCCAGTGCTCTCTGGCCAACAGTCTGCAATGATGCTTGGTAGGCTTCTGCTTATTTCAAGAATTAAGAATTTGCTGTATTATTGTTTTGTGATCTGTGAATGCATGTTAAACATGAAATTTAGGGGGAAAGAGGTACTGTGGCTATTGCATAAATACGTACTTTCTGTTCTAAGTTGACCTCGTTTTTAAAATATGTAATTTTCCAGTGCTTGCCAAGGTTGTGATAGTTGTCTCAAGCAGGAAGCACCCATAACATACCTGACTGCATCTACATTTACCATGAGTTGGCTACTTTTCTCTACACTGAAAAATGCAGAGCCGGTCCCTTTCAGAACTGGTGTTAGGTTTTGGAGCTCACAATTAAGATACCGTCTTAAGGACAGGATAATCCAGAACAGCTCCTCTCCAGTCCCTGCTCTTTAATTCCATGTAGGGGGAAAATACATTTAATTGTTTCAAAGATTATTCCTTTTTTGGTAAATTTATAGTAAAAAGGGGGAGATTAATAAAGAGCTATTTTTTTCTCAGCTTGTGGTTTCTAATTACCTCGGTTACAGCTCAGCCTTCCTCTTCACTGGAGTGCAGGCATGAACTGGAAAAGAATGAGCTAATCCATGATAGATCAGGTGGAATAAAGATCTCCATTCATATCTTTACCTTTTATCCCTTGTTCTGAGTGCCAAGAATTAATGCTGTTTGAAAGTACAAACTGAACCTGCCAAGCTTCAGGCAGCTGCGATAATCCTAATTATTTTAAATGTTAGTGAGAAGGGCAGCAGTGCCACTCTGGAAAAGAGTTCTATTGTGCAACATTAAGTATCTGCTAAGTGGTATTGATTGGACACGATTTTATTTCCAAACACCATGATTATCGTGAAGCGGAAGAATTTGTTAAGAAAATTTCATCAGCTTTTCATCAGACTCTCACTTTCGTCTTTAAACTCTAGGAACCCAAAGAGGCCAGCACTTTGTTTGTCTTCCTTGGCAGTCAGCATCTAGGAGAAGAGTTGCTAGCAGTTGGAGAATGCCGCTTGCGTTTTATTTTTAAATGGTTTCTTGGTGGGAGTGTAATAGCATTTAGCATATTGAGGAAGAACGTTTTTTTCCTCAACCATGAATATCCTGTTTTCTCACATCACTGGAGGAGAATCATTCATTCCAGTCCATTGAGTTCCAACAGATCATTCAAGTTAAAAGTCAGGGGTCTTTGCAATGTCAAAAGATTTAGCAGTTAGAGTAGGTTTTGTGTTGGAGGGCTCTTTTGGGCAGTGTATAATATTTTTGAAAAGAATACTGATGGTAACATAGCATCACCAAAATCATATTAAGGGCCCCTCAATTGTTAAGAATGATTTTGTGTAAGATTTTTAAATATTGATTTTCAAATAATAATAGAAAGGCCCTTTCACTGCTGTGGACAAATAGACTACTTGAGAGAATGCAGATACTAGACTTGTGGTTCAAAGTAGGGTCAGCGTCAGTGGCTTACCCACCTTTCACTGTAACACGAAAAAAAAGTTAAGATGGACAAGTTGCCTTTTTTTCCTCCCTACTTTTCTGTATCTACTTTGGTCTCCAGAATCATTTCTTCATCCATTGCTTAGGCAGTCTAATCCTTACCCGTGTATTATTGCCTGTGAACCAAGCCCAGGGTGGCTGCCCTCATTTTCCTCTCCTCCCCACGCACAAGGCTGACACCAGTGTCTTCACGCATGCAAATAGTGTTGTGTTGGGCTTATCCGGCCAATTATTCTTTCTTCGGGGTTATTCCCCAGAGTGGAATTACTAGGTCAGAGGGGCTGAACAGTTTTACGGCTCTTATTACATGTCATGAGATTGCCTTCCGGAAAGATGGAACCAATTTCTAGTGCTACTAGTATTCTCTGTTCCCCACCAGTGCCACTGACATTAGGAGCTGGTAGTGTTTTACAAAATGATGAAGACAAACTTTTTCAGGTGAAATTAGTCATGTACAGGGCCCATTAGAATCAGCTTTTAAAAAGTAAAAGGGATCATTTTGGTTTTCTGGATTTTTTGCTTGGTATAAAATTCATGATTAATTATTCTCCTCCCAAAGTAAGTTTACGGAAATTTCATTGAAATGGAGAGGGGATCTTGAGGAATCTTGTGTTTAAGGATGGTAGTAAAATACAGTTTGGACATTACCCACTAAGGGAAAAAAGTACTAGATCTTTTTTGTGCACTTGGACCTTTTCTGATATGCTGTACAAATAGTTAAACATATACTGTCTATAATTTTAACAGCCTGTCACTCAAAGACTGTGCTAAGCCTTAAACAATGTAAAAATAATATGGATTTGAATTTTAAATGGAGAAGTCCTTTTAAAAATACAGGTGCTTTTCAGAACAGGTTGAATGCATTTATTTACATCTTGTGTGGAGTGCAGTCATGCGTGAAGTATGCTTGGAGCCTCCTTAGTCTCCTCTAGGGAGGGGACACACTCTTTGTAGCCCCAAGCCATATGGATACTTTCCAAGAAAATACCCACAAAGCCAGAGAGAGCAAAAGGGGGCTGGTTCTCAGATTCCTTTATTTTGCAGAATTCCCACCACCACCCCTTTAGTCCCGGTTGGCTAAATAGGACAGAGCGGAGGGGTTAAACTCTCTTAGGTCAGTTGCTACCTGAAAGCTGGGGGGGGCCCCGTGTTGGGAGAACACTGCCATGTTCTTGTATAGCCTCTGCATCAGGCTGCAAAGGGTCAGTTACTTTGTCCCTGAAACTCTGGTGGGAATTGGGAAATTTCCGTGGCCAACTCCTAGATGGAGTATCCAAGGGTGGGGTGGTGCAGCAGGGGCAAGAGCCTGCCACGGTTTCTGATTGGTCAGTGGTCCTTGGCAGCTTCTACCAGATCCTTTGTATAAAGTGCAGAGTAATTTTCTTAATGAAGGGCTTGAGGATAAGACACCGCATTAAAGTCCGTGGCACACAGGTTAACCAGTAAGTCTGCACTTTGTTCCCCATGACTTCTGTGCAGAGGGGTGGCGATGAGCAGATTAATTCACAGACTCTCCAGTGGACTCTGGGTCTGCTCCTCAGATCTGCACAATAACAAGATCTTAGCAAAGTCTACCACCTTTGGGAAACATTTCTCAGTGCATATATCTAACAACCAGGTTCATGTATACACAATTCATAATTCTTTTATTTTGCAGTGAATTTTAAATCCATATAACAATCCAAATGTATTAAGATGACTTTATGGTGAAGGCTTCAGATTTCTGAAGTTCCCAGTTATTTGGGTTACAAATGCATGTGTATGTGTGTTTGGGGGCATCTATAAAATACTATTTCACAACGCTTTCCTTTTGTTTTTAAATCCTACAAATTCATCCCTTGCTTTTTATTTAAGTTAGTAAACACCAAACATATTATCAACACAAAATGTAATTGCTTGTCAGAAAATTGCCTATGTTGCTTTTCACATTTACTCACTAAGTTTTCAGATCATCCTTTTCCTTATTCGATGTTGGGAGAGCTATATCACAACTGCCCATATGCCTGACTGTCCATTCATATATCACAATGTATGTAGGAAGGGAACTTTCTGAAATAATGTGCTCCAGTGGTGTGAAGAAAGGTCCACTTCTTAAATCCTGACTCTGTTTTTTTATTTTTGTGTTGTTCCACTAGCTGCAGCAGCAAACCTTTTCCAAACTCATAACAAGCATAAATAGTGTTCTCTTGTAAAAAGGATTC